GGAGAGGGAGGAGCCAGAGGAACTATAGTGTTAGGAATACAGATTCCTACTCATCACACTATAGAATTCCTTTAAAGATCACATGTCTAGCTAAATGGACAAGCAGAGGTAGGAAAATGTGGTAATGTTTGTTACACATAGCATACTGACTTATTTTAACCCCTAAAAACTACAAAATAAAAACTCTCAAAGGGAACCACCACGTCTCTGGAAATTACACCATTGCATAAAACATCAAAACATTTATTTATAAATTATTTTAACCTTTTATACAGATGATGCTCCATTTTAAATGTACATTACAAATATTTAGCAATTGACAACCCAGTCCATTCTGTTTCTCCTCCGCCACGTATTATGTTGTGTGACTGCACAGGGCAGAGTTTATAACAATGATTGACAGAAAGCCAAGATAGAGTACCAGGATAAGGGGAAATACAAAGTTGTGGCCTTCTATTTAATTTTATTTCCAGACCTCAAAAATACATATTTATAGTGCATAGGTAAATGTAATATTCATAATCTTTGGATGTGATGGTTTCAGTTTAAACAATTTAGCATATCTCATTCCATTGGTACAAATATAATAAGTTAATCACAATACATCTCAGTTTTCTTTTTTTCATTGTAAACTTCATTATAACAACACACTTACTGTTCATAAAACATATAAGACTATATGTATAGAAGAATAAATGGTGGAGTGATAAAAATCACACTAAATAATTTCTTACCATTTGGCACAGAGATGGTTAAGACAACATTACAATAATCACCTGTGAAATGGAATTTTCCTGTATTATTTAGGTATTGCTATCATTTTAAAAAAATAATATGCCTACATGAAGATCTTTGAGACGGTAAAGTATTAACCACTATTTGTTATATTTGTATCTGTTAGACATGCCAACAAATCCTTATTGTATTGCTGGCTTGTAAGTAATGCACATTGGTTTATTTTTTGTGAGGGAGTTTTATTAAATTTTTATTCTTTTTTATCTTTCCTGTCAAGCTAGATGACAAAGTCAGCATTAAAGATTTAGAACACAGTACCGATTACAGAAATTGGTTGGCTATCAAACCAAAAAAAAACAAAAAACAGAAGGACACAGCTTGCAGAATCTGATGTGTCACTTTCATCTGAGCGAGACTGGTGCAGTAACTGCCAAGTAGCCTTGTTTTATCATAACTATAATACCGTGACATATCATACTTTGTAGAAATAAATCATAAATGCAGACAAAACACATGAAATGTTAGAAAACTGAAATCAATGGTTTTCTGATACAACTATTAACTCTTGTGTGTCTGTTAGCTTGGTGGGATGGTCACGATAACCGGAGATATGTTTAACTTAACCAAATGGATGGATCCATTTATTTCATTATAATATAACTGAAAATCGAATATCTGATAAAATAAGAAACACTGCATTAGATAACAGTCTAATTTTATAAAAGGCAGCCTACAATTATTTGTTGTATATGTTAGAAAAACAAATGTGAATCATTTCATCTAAAGTAACAAGCAACATAGCTATAACAGCACGGGATTGGTTGACATGCATGGACACTAAGATTGACTTGTCAAGAGAGCTAATGGAGGCTCTCTAGCATTAGTAATAGAGTAGGGGAGCAGGAAACAGGGCAAACTGTTCAAAAGCAGTTTGACTACTTACAGTTACCCCTGGCACCGTAGCAAATACAGTGAGCTATAGTTATTATGGTACTTAGAGTGTTCCTTTAACAGAGTAAAGGTTTATTAAATAGCAATTATTCCTTAAAAATATTATTATAAAATTGCTAAGCGGTAATCAAGTACACTTCTACTCTGCTAAGAGAATCCTGTCCTTAATGACTGTAGTTAAATGCAATTAGCATGCATATTCCTTGTTTTTTGTCAACATGCCATATCTGTGTGGGTTTAGCATGTGATGTAGAGTTAGTAGTAAAGTACTTGCACAATTTTTGTGCAAGGTACACAACATTTTTATATAAAATCTGTGCTTTTTCATGGTTTTATTTTATTTTATTCAACTAGGTCAGGAGTTCCCAACCCAGTCCTTAAGTACCCCCTACCAGTCCAGGATTTAGGGATTACCCTGTTGTGTCTAAGGTGGTTCTTTTTTTCTTTCTAAAAACACTTTAGACACAACTGGGTAATTCCTAAATCCTGCACTGTTAGGTGGCACTTGAGGACTAGGTTGGGAACCACTGAATTAGGTGATTTCTGGTCACACCTTACAGGCATATGGATTAATAGTAATTTTGTTGGACACAGAAAATCTGCATAGTGTAGGGCAGGGGGAATTAACATTTTATTACTAATTTTATGATTTGGCACACTTGCTGGGTATAGTAGGTTCAATGGCAGATGACAACGGCAAGGGCAAGGCTGTAGAGCACTGACAGATATGTAACTTGATTTATAAGCCATGGCACGTGCTAAGAATTGTGGTGCAAGGAATATGTAATAATCCTCCTATTTCCTGGCAAATGATCTTTATATTTTACTATAGTTTTGAGCTGTAGGGAATTCAATTGACTTTACTGAACATTTGCATGCTTTTTTCTACTGTAAACATTTCTCAGAGGGTATCTGTATTTTTTATAAGCAATCTGTGTGCTTTGCATGAGAAATCCAAACAAAGAGCACTGAATAAAATGTGGTCACATATTTTGCAGGTATTCTGTGACATGAAAAACTGTAAATACCACGTTGGGTGGAAAACGTGCACTCGACTTTTGCATTCTTTTTTCCGTTATTTCTTTTTTCCGTTCTTTTATTCTTTACGAGTTTTGTTACAGACTCCAATTTGGAGCCCGAGCCTTTTACATTACTCAATTGCATCACAGTTGTAAGTCTGTGTAGAGCAATAGGTATACAATCATTTACAACAAGTATTTTTATTAGTAACCTGTCAATAAAAAAAAAAGTTAGATACTTAGCACAATAATCAAAATAACAATAATAAAAGTTTAGCAAGTATACCGATACCCCTTTAAAGCTATTGGCTGGTGTTTCCAACTAAAAGTATAATATGGTTAGGAAAAGATATTCATATATCTGAATTTATGTAACCTCTTTGAAAACATGTGCGATGTAAGTCTATGAATGCAATCTCACCAGAGCATATTTCTTGTTTATCTGAAGGCATTCACAAGATGCTTTATGGAGACAACACCATAGCTTTTATTCCCTCTTGATTCAGTCAGGGGAGGATTTAAGTGGCTTTACAGCAGAGAACAATTTCCCATAGAGTTTTCTCATTACTAAAATAAGAAAAAAATCTTTTGTACTCATCTCTCGGGAGCTGGAATTATCAGTTATTTTGAAGTTATAACATAATATTTAGTGATATAAACAAAATTACGTTACATTTCCACTTTCCATTCTCAAACACCTCCGCTCTCCCACTGACACCCCACAAATAAATTCTTGTGTTTGGCATTATCTTTCCTTTTACTCTTCCTTTGTGGAGCAGTTACAATATAATGAAAATATAACTTTATGAGATTTTAACCACTTCATTCAGGGAGAGATTTCTTTTTCCTTTTTAAGTGCCTATAAAATACTCTGACCGTTAAAGTGAAAAAATAACATATCCATTTATTATTTGCCGAGCTGCATTTCTTAACAGCACGATTGGATGTAACCTTCGATCCTCTCTATAGCTATGCTTTATGTTAGTTTTCTAGGAATTCACATGAATTGCATAACACACATTGAAATAGATTGTGCTGTGTGTTAGATATTATAAATTGGCAATATGCTCATCTATGTTATGTAGATCAGGTGTATCTTAGCCTTTAAAAAAGAAACTAAATAATCTGAACAAATGTACTCTGTATTCCAGTCATTGTTGGCACTCAAGAGCCCATTGGCAAACCCAGGATTTGCATTAAAGACTCGTTGAATAGCAAGCGCTGGGAATTTTCTGTTTTATGTGAAGGGAAAGAAATATTAAGGTCCACTTACTACCCACGTTGCACTGCCTCAAATGGCAAATAGCTCCTATATGCTCCATTCCTTCTCCACTAGGGTGGATGGATTGTAGAATTACATCTGTTCAAAAACAGAAATATGGGTAGCTTCAACTAAATCCTTGGTATCACACAATTACAGTTTATTGACCTGAAATAATGCAAATGCCATAACAGAAAGTAAAAAATAAATAAAACAAATTAAGAATGATTTTAAATGGTTACAAACCTCTAATATTGCCGTTTCCAAGTGCCACCTTAAGGGTATACCTATACAGTCTAATACAGAAAATATGCTCTGGCATATAGAAGAACAATATTATGTACAGTATTGTTAAAGGGACATATAATCACCAGAACCACTATATCTTAATGTACATGATCTGCTGAGTATAGTCAGTCCCTGTAGGCTTTTTTAATGTAAACACTACATTTTTCAGAGAACAGGCAGTGTTTACATAGCTGCCTAGGAACACCTCTAGTGACAGTCACTCAGATAGCCACTAGAGTTGCTTCCTCGTCCAGTGCTGCACAGTGTTCCGGATTTCCATGCTCTGCATAGAGGCACTGAACATTCCCCATGATGTATTGATTTAATGTATTTTCATGAGGAGATGCTGATTGGTGCAATATTCTCCCAATGCTTTTCAATGGAACCAATGATGCCAGGACTATAGTGTCAATAATACATGTTTGTATAGTGTATAGTGTTTCTTTAATATAAACATGTATGCAAATTATCTATCTGTTTTACACACTGCAAGTATCATGGCAAAATAGACTCAAATTAAAGTTATATCAGTCATGAAAGCACAAAACATTTTAAAGCATATTCAAATTAAGTAGTTAACATCTGTTTTTCTAAACATTTTAAAGAGCACCGGTAATGCCCCAAACAGGTTACAAACATTACATGTTACATATTTCCATATTGATATATCACCATTAGTGATGTCCCGAACGGTTTGCTGAATGGTTCGCCACGGACGGCGAACATATGACCCTGTACCTCACAGTCAGCAGACACATTCCAGCCAATCAGCAGCAGACCCTCCCTCTCAGACCCTCCCACCTCCTGGACAGCATCCATTTTGAAGCTGCATTCTTAGTGAGCTGTCCAGGAGGTGGGAGGGTCTGGGAGGGAGGGTCTGCTGCTGATTGGCTGGAATGTGTCTGCTGACTGTGAGGTACAGGGTCATATGTTCGCCGTCCGCGGCAAACCGTTCGGCGAACCGTTCGGGACATCACTAATCACCATTTGTGCATATAAAAATATATATATATATATATATATATATATATATATTTATAGTAATGTTTAAATAATGCAGTACTATATTATTCAGATAGTTTTGTATTCCAGATAAAATATATGTTGGTCACAAACTCTGGATTTTTGACACGTCTAAATTGAATAAATTAAGCAGACTAGGGCAACTAGGGTGAAATGTTTAGACATTTGCAAAAGCTAAAAAAAATCTTTGTTGAAATTTATTTATTTATAAAATATTTTACCAGGATGGATACATTGAGATTTCTCTCGTTTTCAAGTATGTCCTAGGTCTTTGTCCACAAAATATTCCATTGTTACAATATGATACAATATTACAAAAAATACAATATACAGTTGCAAGAAAAAGTATGTGAACCCTTTGGAATGATATGGATTTCTGCACAAATTGGTCATAAAATGTGATCTGATCATCATCTAAGTCACAACAATAGACAATCGTAGTCTGCTTAAACTAATAACACACAAAGAATGAAATGTTGCCATGGTTTTTACGGTCAGGAGTAATTCTTGACCATTCCTCTTTACAGAACTGTTTCAGTTCAGCAATATTCTTGGGATGTCTGGTGTGAATCGCTTTCTTGAGGTCATGCCACAGCATCTCAATCGGATTTTTTCTTCTGTTTAAGCCATTCTGTTGTTTATTTTCTTCTATGCTTTGGGTCATTGTCCTGTTGCAACACCCATCTTCTGTTGAGCTTCAGCTGGTAGACAGATGGCCTTAAGTTCTCCTGCAAAATCTAAACTTGGGAATTAATTTTTCCTTAATTTTACCTTCAATGATAGCAATCCGTCCAGGCCCTGATGCAGCAAAGCAGCCCCAAACCATCATGCTCCCACCACCATACTTCACAGTTGGGACGAGGTTTTGATGTTGGTGTGCTGTGCCTTTTTTCGCCACACATAGTGTTGTGTGTTTTTTCCAAACAACTCAACTTTGGTTTCATCTGTCCACAGAATATTTTGCCAGTACTGCTGTTGAACATCCAGGTGCTCTTGTGCAAACTGTAAACATGCAGCAATGTTTTTTTTGGACAGCAGTGACTTCCTCTGTGGTATCCTCCCATGAAATCCATTCTTGTTTAGTGTTTTACGTATTGTAGATTCGCAAACAGGGATGTTAGCATTTGCCAGTGACTTTTGTAAGTCTTTAGCTGACACTCTAGGATTCTTCTTCACCTCATTGAGCAGTCTGCACTGTGCTCTTGCAGTCATCTTTACAGGATGGCCACTCCTAGGGAGAGTAGCAGCAGTTCTGAACTTTCTCCATTTATAGACAATTTGTCTTACTGTGGACTGATGAACAGCAAGGCTTTTGGAGATACTTTTATAACCCTTTCCAGCTTTATGCAAGTCAACAATTCTTAATCGTAGGTCTTCTGAGAGCTCTTTTGTGCGAGGCATCATTCACATCAGGCAATGCTTCTTGTGAAAAGCAAACCCAGAACTGGTGTGTGTTTTTTATAGGGCAGGGCAGCTGTAACCAACACCTCCAATCTCATCTCATTGATTGGACTCCAGTTGGCTGACATCTCACTCCAATTAGCTCTTGGAGATGTCATTAGTCTAGGGTTTCACATACTTTTTCCACCTGCACTGTGAATGTTTACATGGTGTGTACAATAAAACCATGGCAACATTTCATTCTTTGTGTGTTTTCAGTTTAAGCAGACTGTGATTGTCTATTGTTGTGACTAAGATGATGATCAGATCACATTTTAGGACCAATTTGTGCAGAAATCCATATCATTCCAAAGGGGCCACATACTTTTTCTTGCAACGGTATATATATATATATATCTATATATATATATAGATATATATATATATATACACACACGCACACATATATAAATGTAATACATAACAGGTAATAAATATATTCAACCATGACAGGTGCATTCTGTCCTGAGGTATATTGTCATAGATTTCTTAAAAGATTTTAGATTGAATGAAGATTTGACTCTGTCCCTGAGGTTATTCCATAATTGCAGTGCTCTGTAGGAAAAGGGGGATCAAGCCACTTTATTTTTGGATTGCGGTATGCTAAATATCATGCTAGTACTGGATCGGAGATTATTATTATTATTATTTTATTATTTATATAGCGCCATCAGATTCCGTAGCACGGTACAAAGGCTGGAACAGCCGGGGAGAGCATTCTGCTTGGGGAGGGTGGGAGCTTCCCAGATTCCAGCGACAGCCAGCTTAGCTCTTTTAACATGTCGCAGTGGTGGGTAAAGTAATTACATTCTAGTCCAAAACAGCAGATTTAATTATATAATGTATTAAGTTTATTAAGGAGGGTTTGCTGTGTGGGTGCATACACTACATCCCCATTACACTATCTGTTTCCTTACTGTAGGGCATAGGAAGGATTTGTTTCTGTACAGGGCACCTAGTTTTGCATAATTTAGATACAGTTCCAAAGATCATTGTAACAGTTTTGTCAGTATTTAGGAAGAGTTTGTCATCCACTATCCACTTTTCTGCCTCTGTGAATTGCTAGCGTAGATTACAGTGTCGTCTGCATACATGTGTACAGTTGAGGATTTGCAGATGTTAGGCAGATCATTTACAAATAATGTGAATAGCAGGGGGCCGAGTATGGAGCCTTGGGGAACACCACACGTGACTGCAAGAGGGAGGGAAGAGCTATCAGAAATGGCCACATATTGCAATCGGCCTGAAACCAGGTTAGCGGATGATCACCAATGTCTGATTTTTTAAGTTTTTGCAAAAGAATGCCATGGTCTTCTGTGTCAAAGGCCTTGGCAAAATCAAGGAAAATAGCTCTACGGAAGTCTCCTTATTCCATGCCAATTTGGATGTCATTGCAAACTTTTAAGAGGGCAGTCGAAGTTGAGTGATCTGGACGAAAGGCTGATTGATCAGGCACCAGATAATTTGATGATTGTTATTATTCACATAGTTGCGTGTGGACGCATTTTTCCAAGATTTTTGACAATACAGGGAGCAATGATATTGGGTGATCGTTAGATACTAAAGTATTGTCACCACTTTTATGGATTACAGCTTTTGCAGTCTTCCAAAGTTTGGGTATGTATCCTGACACCAGGGATTCATTGATAAGGGTAGTGACAGGTTTAGCAATTGCTGGCGCACTGAGCTTCAGCAACATTGCTGGAATTTGATCTGGTCCACACTGTTTTTTTTATTTTTAAATTATTAAGATGTTTATTAACGACACAAACAGGCACAGGTCTAAAATTGAATTTCTCTATATGAAGATTTTGAAGATTTGGCAGGGCCTGATCTTCATTTGCAGTTTGAAAATGAGTGTCATTTGTTATCTTAGCAACCAGGGTGGTAGCACATCCAACAAAATAATTATTAAAGGCATTTGCTACATCTAGGTGGTGTTGCAGTGTTTGGTTGTCCATATTGACAGTGGATTGTGTGGATTGTGTGGGTTTGTATGCTATTTATGATTTTCCAGACGTTTCTTGGGTTTGATAGGTTGTTGTTCAAAGGATAATGTAATATTCCCTTTAGATGCATCTTAACCATGTTAGTCACCTTCAGTATAATATATGTTGTATTTGAATGGCAAATGGCACGATAAGGAAGGGATATAAATGATCCTTTATCAAAGCTTGTCAAATTATACAAAGCATGAAAATTGAAAACCAAACAGCTAGATTACCCACTGACACGCCACTGTTCCACCCTGTCAAATATATTAAATATTTGTCAACTGCTTCATATCCAGGTGTACACATAATTAGGGAAAAAGTCTCACCTTATGAATATCTGATAAAGAAACTCCACACATGAGAGAAAGAGAAGACAAGTTCTATTCAACATGTGTACACCCATGCAGAACCAATTAAAATATAGGAAGGAGAATGACTGTTTTCCTCTGCTACACCATACAAATGTAATTCAAAGTCGATTAAAAATGAAATCGGATTTTTTCACAAAACAATAATTTTTCAATGTTAAAATAGTTTTTCTGTCCGCCTGTATTTCTGTCTGTCCATTCATTAATCTAATTACACACCTAAGTTGCTTACTATAATTAAGGTTAATTGTAATTTGGTAGAAGGTTTTACAGAGATGTTGCTTCATAGCAAAAAAAAACAAAAAAAACATGGGCTTCAGCCCAATGGAAAAACGTATGGCTTCTCCCACTATTATTGACTTTAGCCCCTCCAGAATTGTCACCATACACTACACCCAGTGTCCAATCCTAATTTGTATCATGGAATCATTTGCAGCTTTCTACCAAATTACATTTATTGTTGGCTATAAGACACCAAACGTGTTAATTAATATACTTATATAAACCTATATTTAGAAACTCCACGCCTGAAGTATTGACCCTACAAATGCTGTATCAATCATGCACTGTCAGAATGAACCCCAAATATTACCCCAGTATTAATAAGACACTCTGTTGCCCCAATAAATACATAAATTAATTCGTTTATAAAAGAAATTGATGTTTAGTATATTTAACCCCATTGAAAACATGCTAGCATTTAATTATGCAACAGGAGAGGCTGTTTGATAGACAACCAGAGGGGGTATAGCACAATTAATGTATAAAAGTCCCAATATTTTTTGAAATCTGCACTTTATGTAAAAAGAAAAAAACAAAGAGGATACAGTGTGCGGCACCTACGTTCAGCATCTCCACACCCTTTATGGAGATGCTGAGCATTCCTCATGAAGATGCATTGTTTCACAATAGCAATAGCCTTGCATTGGATTTGCAGAGATCATCAAGATTGGGGATTCTTAGGACCCCACTCTTAGAAACCCACAAACTGGTTTTCCTGGCACTATAGAGTTAATAGGTCTCCCCCCACCCTCATGGCCCCCCTCCCGCTGGGCTCCAGGGGGAGGAAGGGGTTAAAGGCT